CCAGCTGTCTGCAAGGAGTATAAATCCTTCCATTCCCCCACCATTCAGTCAGAGCTGAAGAAGCTTCTTGGATGAGAAGTGAAACATCTTCAAAAGAAAAAAGAAGGAAGTCCAGTTGCCTCCAGGAAAAAGTCAGTCAGAAATGGTGTAGGATCTCCTGCTTGGGCAGGGGGTTGGACTAGATGACCTACAAGTTCCCTTCCAACCCTGATTATCTGTTATGTGTCATCTAAAGCACCTTTGGGACAACCATGACCTGGATGACTGAGAATCTCTACAGACTTTTCGCTGAAGATTAAGTGATCTGGGTGGAACAGGATTCCAGGAACTCTGTTTGACTCAGTGGTTCCGGCGCAGGAATATTTTCAAGCCATCCATCAATTTGTTTTGCTGCTTCCCGAAAACCGGATCCATTAATTATTCTATAAGCTACTTGTTTTCATGGGTTGGAAGCTCCTGGTGGAATCTGTGCAGCATCTTGATACGGGTGCAGCAAAGAATATTAAGACGCGAGCAGCCTGACTCATTCTTCACCCTAACGGTCCTCCAAGTGAGAAATTCGTCTTAATTGTTTTAACGGTAATAGGCATTTCCTCGCCTTCCGACCACCATCGAGCCAAACACTTATGTTGCAAAGCACAACTAAATACAACTACAGTCATTCCTGTGACAGCTACGGCCAAAAAAAATAAAATAAAATAAAATAAACTGGGACAAAACCCACTGAACAACTATCTGGCTTAGCGGCAGAAATTTTGGGCTCCATTATTGTCGCATGTTGAGAACTACCTGTATTTTCACGATGCTTTTTGTTTAAAAAAAAAAAAAGAAGTGCTGTAGAATGTACAGTGGGTTAGTTTTTTGAGGTTGTCCAAAAATGGTTTTGATCTTTCTCAATTTTTTTTTCTCTCTGTCAGCGGAAAGCTGAAATTGTGTAAAAACTTGCCTTTCCTTAGTGCAATCTCCTTATTTCATGTGTGTGTGTGCGCCTGTGTGTGTGTGTGTGTGTGTAATGTATTGCCTGAAGGTTTGTGATTAGAAGAAGAAAAGAATTGGGGAATCAGGTTTTTAAGGTGAATTGCAGAAGCCTTGCTTTTCCACTTCTGTTGCAGCTTAATAATAATAATTAAAAAAAAACCAGGATTGATGCATAACACATAAAAACACACACAGCAATATTTCCTTTTAGCTGTATATATTGAGCCTGTCCCCAATTGCCGTGTGTGTGTGTCTGCCTGATGCACTGGAAAATAGAGTCTTCCCGACCTAAATGGCCTATTTCTATCTTTTTCAAACCAACTGGTTCCCTTGAAGATAGATAAATTAAATTTCTCTCTAGAGTTGAGCTCTGTTTGTAAGCCTCTGCTTCAATTTCACTAGTGTTTGCAAAAATTGCAAAATATTTCTGCCCAGAAAGATCAAATGGAAGCTTTCATCACCTCCCTCTGATAGCACCTCTTACAACGATGTCAGGGACTGTCACTTTATTGCAAATTATTATTAACAGTTATTAACTTTGTTGCTTACGCAAACCATTTTCCGCCTTCCTGCAGTGTGTGTGTGTGTGTGTGTGTGTGTGTGTGTGTGTGTGTGTGTGTGTGTGTGTACACGCATCAACTTTGAATTTCTCATTTCTGCATTTCTCAGCTTAATTTGTTCCCCAAACTCTGACAGTAGGATGCAGATGTTCTCAATATTGGATGAGAAGAAAGAAAATAATTATCTTGCAAGGATCATAACTGAAAGGACAGTCATAAGTCAGTTTTTTCAGTGCCGTCGTAACTTTGAATTGTCACTTGAATCGTCACAATTGTGGGGATAATACAAATTAAAATGGATTCATGAATGATTATTTGAGGAATATAACTTGATAAATTTATAGCTAATACAGCAATTACAATGAATATATACTAAAAAAATGATATTAAGAATGTAGTAATTGATATAAAGAGAATATTGTATGAGAATATTGAAGAAAGCTAATAGCAGGAATGTGTAAATATGGTCATGTTTGCTTTGAAATGTTAAAAAGACCTGGATCCACACTGTTCACATAAAGATGCATTTAAAGAAATAAAAATAAAAAGTAACTTTGAATTGTCCCTAAACGAATGGCTTTAAGTCAAAGACTACTACTATATTAGGGTAAGAAAACTGGGGTTTTTTTAAAAGAAAAATTCAGCTGGTTCTACCTCTGCTTGGCGGATAAACCAAGTTTCAACCTCTTTTTTTGGTTTTGCTTCAATAATTGCATGGTTAAAACCAATTTATTATCCAACTGGTTTTCTCTGGATTCGTGGCCTTTGAAGCAACTTGTGCTGGAATTGTTTTCCCAAGCAGAAATTTCTGTGTTGATCCGAGGGCTTTTTTTTGTTCTTGAACAGCTGCTAATCCTTAACATTTCTATCTGTTGAATATTTCTTTTTCTTCCTTCGTATGCATTTCTGGCAGCCTGCAGATGCTCAAGTACATTCCAGCTCCCCCCAAATATGAATTTGTCAACAAGCTGGGTTTTTTTTTTCTCCCTAGATGGTGGGTTTTCATTGCCCAGCCTTATTGAATTCATAAGAAAACGATGTTGCTGCGGTTTGCCTGCCCTACAATATGCACACACGTTAGCCGTTCTTAAGGAAGGTTCCTACATCCGTATCGGACCTTGAAACATTTCCTCTGAGAACATTATAAGCAATGCGAGAGATCTTTTGTCAGTCTGATCTCCGTTTTTACAATGTGCAAAATATTTGATTGGATGGCTGAGAGCTATCATCAGTAATAAGGCTAAATATTTATATATATATATATTAAATATCCAGTATTGATCTCGCTTAGTCTGTCAGCTGTCATTTATCTGTCATCTATCTATCTATCTATCATCTATCTATCATCTATATCTATTAGTCCGTCCATCCATCCATCCACTGGTATCTCTCGTTATCTATTCATCATCCGTCATCTATTTGTCATCTATATCTGTCAACTATCAATCCATCCGTCATCTATATCATCTCTGTCAGCTATGTCTGTCTGTCTGTTCATCTGTATCTATTTCTGCCCATCCATCCATCCATCCGTATCTATTTCTCTATCCATCCATCCATCCGTCATGTTATCTATCTCTGTCTGTCATCTATCTATCTATCATCTATTTCTCCATCCATCCATCCGATATCTTTATCAATCCATCCATCCGTCATGTTATCTATATCTATCTGTCATGTCAGCTATGTCTGTCTGTCCGTCTATCCATCCATCAGTATCTATTTCTCCGCCCATCCTTCAGTATCTATTTCTCTCTCTCATCTATCTACCTACCTACCTACCTTCCTATCTCCATCCATCCGTCCATCCATTCATCCACCCATCCATCAATAGGCTCTTTCTGTCTCTCTTTAATCTATCTCTATTTTCTTTCTAGGACTCATTCATGATCAGGAAATGGGGAGCTTTTTAAAAATAAAAAGCTTAATGAGAATTACGTGCTTCCTCAAGCAATCAGAACTGGAAAGCCCACTCATTTCAATAAATAGGATATATGTTTTTGCGGATTTTATGAGTCAATTCTCAAGGATTACTAAATATAGCTACAAATTGTACCCCAGTGCTGTGTGCAAAAAAAAAAAATAAAAGAATAAAAAATGCTATTTTATTTGCAGTTGGGATAGGACTCTGTATGAGGACATTTAATGAATACCAAATAATTTCATATGCCTACATCCAGTAGAATATTGCTGGTTTTGCATCAATGGAAATATTATTTGAAATAACTCATACTCCAAACACCCCCCACCCCCAAATGTGATTGTGGAATAATGAGGGCACCTAGTGACTAGTAAGGCAAATGACAACAGGGAACAACAATGTTAAACACACACTTCATTTCCAAAGAGCCTCGTGAAATGTAAAATACAAATTATAGTTTCTAGTTGAGACAATATGGCTTTTTAAACAAGGATATTTGAGCCATTTCTTCTCACTTGGTATCTGCTCAGACAGACAAAGCACAGGGAGTCCTCAGCTTAACAACAGTTTGTGTAGTGATCGCTCAAAGTTACGACGACACTGGAAAAAAGTGAGGTACGATCATTTTTCACACTTATGACCAGGGCTGGGCTGCTGGGGGTTCGGGAGAGCCCCGAGCGAAGATTCTGTGCAGTTTGGAGAACCCCCAAATCCCACTCCTGGCTGGCCCCGCCCACCCCTCCCCTCCCCTTGAAGGAGTCCCCACACGCCCTTACTGCAGGTAAGTGCAGGGGGGGCGCGTGGAGGCTCGGGGAGGGCAAAAAATGGGCCTCCTGGAAATTCAGGAAGGCTGGAAATGGGTCCATCAAAGTCACTTTTCTTTAGTTCTTTAGAACAGGGGTCTCCAACCTTGGCAACTTTAAGACTTGTGGACTTTAACTCCCAGAGTTCCTCAGCCAGCTTTGCTGGCTGAGGAACTCTGGGAGTTGAAGTCCACAAGTCTTAAAGTTGCCAAGGTTGGAGACCCCTGCTTTAGAAGATTAAGGCCATCAGCCTGGGTGAGTTAGGTACATCAAAAATACCCGAAAATAAGACCCTGTTATAAAAAAAAATTTGCCACCAAAGAAAGGCACCAGGTCTTATTTGAGGGGGATGTCACCCCCGGCCTCTTTTTCACTGTCAGAGACCTTCAGGAACTTCTTCTGAGGCTGGCAAGTCTTTTCTGAAGGCCTCTGCAGCTGATAACAGAGCTCTGGATCGATCTAGAGCTTTATTCTCAGCTACAGAGGCCTTTAGGAAAGCCTTGCCAGCCTTGTCAAAGAAATGGGCCAGCAAGGCAGGTGTTGGGGTGTGCAAGGCCTGGCTACAACTGTTCAAAGGTAATTAGTAGGGCAGTTCCACACACACACACACACCCATCCCTACCCTAGCTTAATTTTACCCATCCATTCTGGAGTGGGTGGGATCTTAATTAGGGCTTATTTTGGGGGCAGGGCTTATATTGGGCTCACATGTTAAAAAATCAAGCTAGGACTTACTTTCCGGGTAGGACCGGGGAAACGATACTTTCGGTACTTTCTGCAAAACATTTTAAACCTACTAATTTAATGGCCCCAAAAATGTGGTTCTATCTGAATGACTTACGTTCCATCTGCCCACAAGCGTTGCTGGAATATGACATTTTCCACTGGCATCAGATTGTCTATTCCAGGTTGGGCAACTATAGCTAGCATCTTTACGATTGGTGGACCAACTCCCAGAATTTTTCAGCCCGCTAGTGACTTGAAATCCACAGATGGTAAAGCCATCATAGTTGCTCATCCTGCTCCGTCCTTGTCATTAAAATCAGATTTTCCGCCCCCATTGCATTTTGGTCTTTCCAGCTAACAGCCATGTTTTGGGTTTTTTTTTAACCATTCATAAATCACCAAGCTGGTACATTTGAAGTGTCATTCCTACGTTTTTCATTCTTCAATGGAGGGAATATTTTTGGAAGCTGTGATGGAGTCAGATGTGCATCCTACCTTTTTCCTCTATTAAACTTTCCAAATAAATAACGGACATCTAAGTTCTTATTTTTTGCAGATGAAGATGGACATTAAATAAAATTCACTGACAACCAGAACATCATAGCGACTGCTTTGCATATCAGTTGGATAGATAAGATAAGGCTCACAATTTAGATTATGGTTCCCATATTTACTGATGGTATAAAGAGCGTGGAATTAAAAGCTACTGGATTCAATTCAGTCAAATTCATAGTTAATTTGCAATATTAACTCGCACATACGTGCTAGTTGTTTCCTAGGCTCTGGGGGCAGTGCTCATCTCCGTTAGAAAGCCAAAGAACAGCCAGTGCTGTCCGAAGACGTCTCTATGGTCATGCGGCCATGACTAAACGCTTTCGAAGGTGCATGGAATGCTGTTCCCTTCCCACCAAAGGGATCCCTATTTTTCTACTTGCATTTTTTTACATGCTTTCAAACTGCTAGGTTGGCAGAAGCTGGGACAAGTAACGGAGCTCACTCCCTTACGCAGCACTAGGGATTTGAACTGCCAAACTGCCGACCTTTCTGACTGACAAGCTCAGCATCTTAGCCCCTGAGCCACCACATCCCTTTTTTAAAAATTTAAATTTGCAATATTAATTGCCCACTAATTTCATTATTCTTTTCGTCTGCCATAAATTCAAGAAAGATTTAATGCAAGGCAACGCCGATACAGGAAATCCTCGACTTATGATCACAATTAAGCCCAAAATTTCCATCGCTAAGCAAGACAAGTGAATTTCACCTCATTTTATGACCTTTCTTGCCAGTTATTAAGTGAATCACGGCAATAAATTAGTAGCACGGTCGTTAAGTGAATCTAGGCTTCCCCCTTGACTTTGCTTGTCAGAAGGTCGCAAAAGGGGATTGTGTAACTCCGGGGGCACTGCGACCGTCATAAATATGAATCAGTTGCCCAGCATCTCAATCTTGATCACCTGATCACGGGAAGGCTGCAAGAGTCATTAAGTGTGAAAAACAGTCATAAGTCCCCCTTTGCAGTGCTGTTGTAACTTCAAATGGTCACTAAATGAACTGTAGTTCATTTAGTCAAGGACTATCTGTATGACTCAGCCTCCAAAAATATGGTGATCAGAATTGTAATCCAATTGGATGGTACTTTAAAACTCAAGAAAATTAAAAATAACCATGATGGATTCTTCAGATTGTCAAGTACCCCTAAGGCTGTCAATCACTCTCAACAGTATCCCTAAGGCTGTCAATCACTCTCAACAGTACCCCTAAGGCTGTCAATCACTCTCAACAGTACCCCTAAGGCTGTTAATTTCTCTTAACCATGTTACAATGCAAAGAGCCCATGATTCTTCGATCGGTCCATTTGTTTTGTTTTGCAGAAAGAGTCTGACAATAAACGATACGCTAAAAGGTTTTCCACATTTGTTCAAACAGCCAATTCGTAAATTGGTATACATGCTCTGCTCCCAGTATTTTTAATTTCCTTTCTTGTGCATTAATTCTCCATTTCTTGGGATTCCCACACTCTTAGGATAGGAGTGACATTTTAAAAGATGAGGGGAGAAATTAAAAAAATACCAACCAATCGTATCTCGCACCCCATTTTAAAAACAGAATTATATGGGCTTGTGAGTTTCGGCTGCAAAATTTTCTCGCTTCGCTTGCCTACGGAAAATACATCACTTTCCAATTTCATTCCCGTTGAAGATTATCAATCTACGGGACTCTGCGATGCTCCCAGAATGTAGAGTTGATAAATTTTCACGATTTAAATCCAGTTTCTGAATGATCAATTCTCCTCTCCGTGACAATCCTGTTTCTCGTTCTGGGAAGGAGGACTTTAAAAATGAAAGGATCATCTCAGCGACTTTTTAAAAATCCTTGAAAAGGACAAAACGAGTCACAGCGCAGAGTTTAATTGCTTTCCCTTCTTTCGTTGCCGGGGAAAAAAAGGCTAGTTTGTTTGTTCCCCCCGGCTCCGTGTCTTTAATGTATTGCACAATCTTTTGCTATTAAAAAAATGTCTTTTCATGTCAAGACTAGAGTTTCTGCAGGAGGGGCTATTGCGTCGCCTCTTCGGTGGCTAGAGGTTCGTGGTCATTTCGTTGACTATCTGGAAGTTGAACCTGTCAGAAAAACAAAACAAAACAGAGAAAACGTAATTTTTTGTTTCCTCCCCTTCTTCATGCATTTTGGCTCGTTGTGGCTCAACTCCACCTATTCCTCTTCTAAAGAAAAAAATCATAATACGGATTTATTTGAGAAAGTTTAAACCAGTTTGGCCTAGTGGTTAAGGCTCCAGGTTAGAAAACAGGAGATAGTGTGTTCTAGTCCTACCTTCGCCATGAAAACCAGCTGGGTGACTTTGGGCCAATCACCAGGAGACTGTGAGTTCTAGTCCCGCCTTAGTCATGAAAGCTGGCTGGGTGATTTTAGCCAATCACCAGGTGACTGTGAGTTCTAGTCTCGCCTTAGCCATAAAAGAACTCACAGTCTTCTGGCTGGGTGATTTTAGGCCAGTGGTAGTCAACTTGATCCCTACCGCCCACTAGTGGGCGTTCCAGCTTTCACGGTGGGTGGGTGGGGGTTTGTCCCCTACTTTATAAATCACCATTACTGTGGTACCGGTGGGCGGTTAAAGAAAACTTACTACTAAGAGAGATACAAATGTGGGTGGTAGATATAAAAAAGTTGACTACCCCTGCTTTAGGCTAATCACCAGGCAACTGTGAGTTCTAGTCCTGAGTTCGCCATGAAAACCAGCTGGGTGATTTTGGGCCTATCACCAGGAGACTGTGAGTTCTAGTCCTGCCTTAGTCATGAAAGCTGGCTGGGTGACTTTAGGCCAATCACCAGGCGAACGTGAGTTCTAGTCCCACCTTAGTCATGAAAGCTGGCTGAGTGACTTTAGGCCAATCACCAGGAGACTGTGAGTTCTAATCCCTCCTAGCCATAAAAGCTGGCTGGTGACTTTAGGCCAATCGCCAGGAGACTGTGAGTTCTAGTCCCACTTTAGCCATAAAAGAACTGACAGTCTCCTGGCTGGGTGACTTTAGGCCAATCACCAGGCGAATGTGATTTCTAAGTCCCGCATTAGTCATGAAAGCTGGCTGGGTGACTTTAAGCCAATCACTGGGAGCCTGTGAGTTCTAGTCCTGCCTTGGCCATAAAAGCTGGCTAGGGTGACTTTAGGTCAATCACCAGGAGACTGTGAGTTCTAGTTCTGCCTTCACTATAAAAACCATCTGGGTGACTTTGGGCCAGACACTCTCATTCAGCCCAACTCACCTCACAGGATTGTTGTTGTGGGGAAAATAGGAGGAGGAGGAGGAAGGTGTGTTGGATATGTTCGCCGCCTTGAGTTATTCATAAAAACAATAAAGGCAGGATGCAGATAAATTAAAATAAAATAAAAAAATAAATGAAAGATGTATCACAGATTTTGTCACAATCGCCGTACCACTTCTAATGTTTATTCACAGTGTTCATTCTGCTTTGTGACTTTCTCCTACTCTTAACTTTCTTTCCTGTGCCTTAATATTGTCACTAATTTTGGAAGAATTATACCAAAGCAGCTTATTCAAAATAACTAAGGGCTAATATTTAAGGGGCTGCCACAAAGAAGAGGGGGTCAATTTATTATCCAAAGCACCAGAAGGCAGGACAAGAAACAATGGATGGAAACTAACCTAATCAAGGAGAGAAGCAACCTAGAATTAAGGAGAAGCTTCCTAACAGTGAGGACAATTAACCAGTGGAACTGCTTGCCACCAGAAGTTGTGGCTGCTCCATCACTGGAGGTTTTTAAGAAGAGACTGGACAGCCACTTGTCTGAATGGGTATACAACAGTGGTGGCTAACCTTTTTGGGCTCCTGTGCCAAAAATTTTGTGTGTGCACACTTGTGTGCCAGCACCCAGAAGGCAACGAACCCTGCGCATATGCACGCAATCCTTCCCCCGCCACCCCCTTACCTGCACCGCACCTCATAGCTAATTTTTTGGCTGGTTTGAGGCCTTTTTTGGCCTCCCAGAGGCTTGAAAAAAGCCTCTGCAGGATTTGCAGGACAAATAATAGGCTCGTTTCATCACTTCCGGTATTACAGTGACAAAACGGGCCTATTATTCATCCTGCAAAGCCTGTAGAGGCTGAAAAAGGCTTCAAACCAACTGAAAAATCAGCCATGAGGCGCGTACATGCGCAGTGAGGTAAGTTTGCCTGTGGCTCGTGTGCCAGCACAAATGGCTCTGCGTGCCACCTGTGGCGTGTGTGCCATAGGTTCGCCATCATGGGTATAGGATCTCCTGCCAGAGCAGGGGGCTGGACTAGAAGACTTCCAAGGTCCCTTCCAGCTCCATTCTATTCTAGTCTAATAGAAAGCCTGAGTTCTATTACTGTCAATTTGATAATTACTTCTGTGCACTTGTATTACGAGAGATACCTACAGCATGCTATGAGGCGAATTCAGAATTAATTAATCAAGGCCGTTGGGGAGATGAAATTAGCTTTTCCCCCATCAGCTCTTCATCTTTTGATAGCAAAGTATTATTTTCAATGGTCACAGATACTAGGATCCTGAAATAATGGCTGTTACCCACCTAGCTTTCATTTAAATAGGAGGAACAACTTTCTAATGGCAAGGACTCTCCAACAATTAATAAAACGTCCCCAAAGAGGTTTTTTTCCAAAAGGCAACTGGATTCTGTTTCCCCTTGAAGAGGTTTCGCTTCTCATCCAAGAAGCTTCTTCCAGTTCTTCAGAAGAAGCAGTAAAATCTCTTCAAGGGAAAACGAAGTCCGGTTGTCTTTTGGAAAAAAAAACAACAACCATGACTTGATGGACTGAAAAAACTCTCCATAGACAGTCAGTGGGACGGTCTCATTGTAGAAGTTGTGCGTTTTCTACCTCTGGAGGGTTTGTAAGAAGAGGCTGGAGACCATCTCCTATGGATATGGAGGCTGGGTTTTCTCCACATTGCAGGTGGCTGGATTAGATTATCCATGCGGTTCCTAACTACTTTGTAATTCCAAATATGTCCCAGTGTCGACTCCCACAATTCTTCGCCAAAAGGCTACAGAGATAGTTAGTTCGCCCGAACCCGTAGCTAACTGGTAGCTAATTTTATCGCCAGTTCGGGGAAGCGGCAAATGCCACCCCCTAGTTTGCCACGCCCCTCCCCAGAGTCCCCACGTGGGCCATTTTGGATGCCAGGTAAGTGTAGGGCCAGTACGGAGGCTCGAGGAAGGTGAAAAATGGGCCTCCTGGAGGTTCCGGAAGGTCAGAAATAGGCCTGTTTCCAGCCTCTAGGGGCCCCCCGGAGACTAGGGGGGCCGTTTTCGCTCTCCCGGAAGCTTGAGGAAAGCCTCTGGAGCCCAGGGAGAGTAAAAACACGCCCCCACCGTGGTGTAAGAGGCCAACTGGGCCATGCCCACGATGGCCACACCCACCCAGCAACCAGGCCGAGAACCGGTTGCTAAAATTTCTGAAGCCCACCCCTGTGGTTAGGGTGTTGTTACAAGGAAGGTCCCTAAAAATTGGGATGGGCTATCTACCCTCACCAAAGCTGTGCTCCAATTAAGAGCGCCATTAGATTTCCAAGGATCCTTTCCCCTCGTCTGGATTATAACCTTATTCTGTTCTCTGTGTGAGGCAGGAGAGGAAAGCAGAGTCCTGTCTAAGGCTAGATACACACAAAGCCCTATCTGGAGTTCTTGGTTGTTTGCTTGCAGACGTCTCATGACCCAACTAGGGAATGTCATCAGTGACCAAAATGACTGACTGAGATATCTCGCCCTGAGGATGTTTCCTAGTTGGGTTCGTGAAACGTCTGGGAGACAACAAGCAAGCTCAAGAGAGCACCAAAGACCTCACAGTTCAACCCTGAGCTACACCTACCCTAATTAAATCCCAGGTGTTACTCAGAATACTTACAGGTGTAGATTTAGAAGACTTCAGTCTGAAACGGCAACAGATAATTTCCACGATGAACCCTCCAATGCTGTGTAAAATGCCTACGGTAAGAGAACAAATGGAACCTTTGGTTATGTTGGTTATTCTATTTGATGCGGTAAAGTGGCTACAACCAGCGCCTGACAAGCTAAGTCATTAGCTAAGGATTCTGAATTCGTTTAACAACCAAGTGATTCACTTAACAACTGTCACAAAAAAGGCATAACATCAGGTGTGACTCACTTAACAATTTCCTTGTTTAACGGTGGAAATTCCAACCCCAATTATGGTCATATGTCAAGGACCCCCTGCATCTATTAATACCCACGTTTCCCCAAAAATAAAACTGGGTCTTATATTAATTTTTGCTCCAAAAGTCACATTAGGTCTTATTTTCAGAGAAATACGGTACTAAATGCATCCGTATGGCTGACGATCTTAACTAGGGCTTATTTTGGGGGGTAGGGCTTATTGTCAACTCATAAAATATTTCTCTGGTCTTTTAAGAGTTGCCAACAGAAAGGGGTTTGAAAGAGCAGTAAAGCAGCTTGGAAACCGAAAGTGCATTCCATAAATAGTTTTTCAAAGATAGTAACTAGGTGATTTAAGTTTCTGCCCCGCAAAATTCTAACTGGAGAGCATGATTGATGACTCTTGGCTATGGATGTGTCCCATTGGAGAATATGAATTATGGTACACCCAGAGGGTGGGGGAAAAACCAGGGTCAAGGGTGACAATGAATGATGTGTCTCAGAGTCAGCTACACCCAGGCGGTGCAGCCGGCATGTTTACTCCCAATAAATCCTTTCTAAGTTTTGGAAGTTTGGCTTTAGACTCATGATTTAAATGGGAGTAACTGCCGGAATCCTGACACTTATATTATGAGCATCCTGAAAAATCATGCTAGGGCTTATTTTCTGGTTGGGTCTTATTTTGTGGGGGGGGTTTACCTGTAGTAGAAAAAATTCCTCCAACTATACCACAGAGTCTGATGATAAACTGCCAGAAGGGCATGTGTTCCTCGGTGACGGTCACCATAAGGGAACTGATATCATATTTCATGAAAATTCCAGAGACTCCGTGACTTCCGGCCGCGTGGTTGATCACGCGCTCCTAGGAAGAGCAGCAAGAAGGAAAACCAAATCAAGAATAGCTTTGCAATACCGTATTAGGTCCGAAGACTCTGATTTACATACATTAGACCAGGGGCGTCAAACCAGCCCGTGGTGCCTCTGCCAGCGAAAATGGAGCTTTGGGGACCCACTGGCAGAGGGCTGCAGGAGGCCGTGGCAGCCCCTCCAAGCCCCATTTTCGCTGGCAGAGGGCTAGCAAAGCAAACTAAAAACAAAGAAAAGGATAAATGTTTCCCCTTTTGGATTTGAGCATGCAGGAAGGGATAGGAAAGGAGAAAGCGAACAAGGAAAGAGAAAAAAGAAAGGAAGATGGGAAGAGAGCAAGGAAGGAAAAAGAAGAAAAGAGGGGAAGGAGGAAGAAAGGAGAAGGAAAAGGGAAGGAAGGAAGAAGATTAGAATAAGAGTGAGGGAGAGTCTCCACAGGTGCCCCCGACACGAGTGGTGGCCATGCCCCACCATATAAAATAATTTATTTAAATAATAAATTATTTAAAATGTATTTCAGAAGAGCTGGCACGCATTAAGAAACATTAGAAAAAAGAAAAAATGGAAATCATTTAATTACGGACTTTGCACGCACATCTGTTTATTGCAAGAGCTGTATTTTACTTTACTTTATCATAAAGGAAAACAACAGAAGAAAACAGCACCTACAGCTCACACTCACAAAATATTTCTAAAATATTCTACTTTTGTATCATAAAGGAAAATGACAGAAGAAAATGGCATCTATACTTCACACATACCATATATATACTAGCTGGATACCCGTGCTTCACTACGAAACTATGTGATTGGGTTTAGTTTTTATGGAGGAAAATAAGCCGGGGGGATTGTGCCTCTGCATCCATCGGTATTCATCTGGCTAGCGTCATGTCAGTGTGTGAGAGTTGAGTTGAATTGAGAGTTGTTTGGAAAGTGAAAGAGTATTTGCTGCGTGAGCAAGGAGGAGACAGCAATGAGCCTGGGCGTGGCTTAGCTCAGCTGTTCTGTACTAAAGCTGCTTGGTGCTCTGAAACTGAAACTCCTCTCCTCTGCTTGTGTTTGTATTTGGAAGAGTCCCCCTTTGGGGAGGGGGACTAGAACACCTTAGCATCAGAGCGTGTTAATAATAATAATAATATAGGAAATACTAAAGCTCTGATGGTCATTTCAAAAAATCCTTTCTCAGTGAGCACCTAGAAGCCAAGAGGAACATACGTGCCAAATTTCAAGTTTGTAGGCTTTACAGTTCTGGAGATTTTGTGATGATTCATGAGTGGTATTTTGCTTTTATATATATGTATATATAGAGAGATAAACGCTGCTCTTTTTTTGACGCCAGGACTCACCCTTTCTGTTACTGCAAACTGATGCGTTTCTGCTGAAATTTTGTGTGTTTGAAGTTTTGTTGGCACCACTGTGACAAAGTACTGGAACATCTGATTGTCTGCAGAACCCCACCCCACCCCAAAAGAAAAAATAGGTAAAACAAAATTCATCACGCAAGAAAAACAACGGTCCGAGCACAATCCTACATCGTTGGTTTTATTCTATGTCATAAAGTTTTAAAGCGCATTTCAACACGAGATAAACTCATTTATCCACGAATAAAACGAAATCACTGCTTCATAAATCTCTCGTGCCTCCTTATATCCATTTCCTTGTGCTTATACAAAAGGCTCAACACCCCACGTGCGATAATTAATCTTTATGTAAATATATTAATAATTTGGGGGAAGCGAGAGGTGTTCCACGGAAAATGCACCATCGAGGCTAGATTCCGTAAAAAAAAATGACATTTATTTATGAAACGTATTACACTACCCATTATTATTGTAATTATTGAATATCTCAGCGGAGGTGTGATTAAAACCTCGGCGGAGTCATTAGAAATTCCACGAAAATGATGCAATAAATGCCATTTAGGGAAATCAAGGAGAGAATTGTAATCCAACAACAAACGAAGTTGTTGAGCTGTTGTCCCACCCCACCCTACCCCCGACAAATAGAACCCACTTACGATCTGATGCAATCTTTTCGGTACCATCTAAAGGATTAATAATGCCTGGAATGAGCTCTCCAAAAGACAAGTGATCTATCCTATGGGAGAAATTGTATGCTAGAAGACACAACGGGAAAACACCTGGTTAATATCGTAATTTTAGCTATGTGTGTGTGTGTGTGTGTGTGTGTGTGTGTGTATCCTCAGAAAATATATTATATATATATATATATATATACACACACACCACACACACACATACACCGTATTTCTTCAACAATACGTCCCCACCCAATAGGAAGGCCCAGCACTGTTTTATACGCATGCGGTGAAATTAAGCCCCATCCCCCAAATTTGGGCCTATTTAAAGCATGTGTTTCCCACCATTTCTCACATCGCTTGAACAACACGAGGTGAACAGAAATGGGGGGGAAAGGCAGGGAGGGGGGAAACTTGCTGTTAGGCTAGAGCGCCCTGCAGGCAGCCATGCCTCGCCAGCAGGCTGCTCCTAACGGCCGATAGAAGTGGCCTGGTGGCGAGGTGAATCTGCACGCATTGGGCACTCTAGGTGAGGGTGCGTGTGCAGGGAAAATTAAGTCACCCCTCAAAAAGACGGCCTAGCCATTTGGGGGGGGGGGGG